ACTAAAGACTCGTATAAAAAATACTACATGGTATGCTCTGCCTTTATATTTTAGAGCCTGACCACAAAATGCATGTAAAGACTGTTGAAAGATAGTTCTGGGACCTTTCCCTGTCAATATAGACTGACCAAGCTCACCATACTAATCCCTCCTCCCAGCAGCTGCCCCTATAAGAACTTTACAAATCTGGTAATGATATCAAAGCTGTTCGCTAGAGGAATAAGGTAACAGAAATAATATTGCAGGGACATACTCTAGAAAGGGAAGAGTGAGGGTTGGGTGTAAATGTGTCTCATGCCTTAACAAACACTTAGAGCAGTGGCAGCAAACACATCATCAAACAAGATCTTTGAAGGGAATTTTGTTGCCAAACTGCCTATTTTCAGCCAGCAGATTTTCGTCTCCCTACTTTAAAGCAAAACAGTTAGCTTTTTTATGTTCATTTTATTTTATTCATGCTAATTTGGTAGGAAAATGAGTTGCAGAAGTTGATATAACACATCTTTTATGTTTGTTACATTCCATTCATTAATTTTGAAAAATGTCGAAGTGCAAACTATTGCACAAAAGCTGCATTAAAATGATTAAAACACTTTTTTATATTTATCTCTTTTAATTTGGAAGAAGTGGAGCTCTACCTTTTATGTTTAAAGTTCTGTTGATGATATTGGCACTGGAACTCTGCCTGCAAGGGTGCTATGTTACTGAATCACTCAAGAGTATTCCTTTGCATTTTCTGAATCTATGATTCATTAACAGATCTCTGATGTGTGAAGTGCTGCTGACACACTTTCTGAAGCACTGTATACTTGTAAGGGTGCATCTTCTGTTGTTTTTCACAAACCTCATTGTCTAGAAAAAAGCAACACATTCTTATATTGAAGCTTTTTTTGAAAGATTTAGACATTTTGAGGGCGAGTTAATAAAGCATTTGCAACACTTTTCCAGTGTTATGGCCATATTAGAAGATGCTGTGCCAAAATCATAAAAGCAACGGGGCAGTTTTCTTTCTATTTCCAGCCAATGCAACAGATTTAGGTAGTTCTTATGTGATACATACTGGCACTAGGGTTAAGACAAATTCATTAAAAAAATGCCATGTAGCTCTCACCCCTTAAAGGGCTGCTGGAAATAACCCAGGTCTACTTGTTCAAAAGCTGCCAGGCCCAAACTCCAGTTCTAGTAATTGAACAGGAGAGAGGGATGAGGGTGCAGGATACTCCAAATGCAAAGCAGGCACAGGAAGACAGATTCCCAAGTACAAATCCTTTAGAAGCAGCTGTTGCTGGAGGTAGAGGGGATAGCTAGCTCATCTGAGAATCTGTATGAGCAGCCCCAGCCATAACAGCAACCTGGCATTCAACCCCTAAAGAACATGCACACCTGGTGTCCTAGGGAAAGATCCTACTTACAATGCCCATGGACAGCTGTCGCCAACCAGCTTTCATGCAACACTTTTCAGTGATAAAGGGGTCCTTCTCTACCCAGCTTCCTAAGGTAGTGCCCTCCGACACTACCAGTTTTATAATCCAAGTTCTTCCAGGTCCTCAGGCAAGCACAGGCTGAAGCTTAACAACAGCTGTTCAGTACACAGAATCAATATTTACAACTCAGTGCCTAAGCCTCCTACTCTATTTCTGGAAGCTCCTTCCAGAGGCAGACAGGAGCAATCAACCACCAAGCTTAGAGAAACTTTACCAGATCTAGAAAATAGATGTTGCTCCACTGAGTACAGCAGAGCAAAAAGCTAAATTTAGCCAGACTAGGACAGGATGCTATACACCATATCAGTGATAAGAATAATGGAGATAAATAAGACCTCTTAGGTTTGTGCTGGCACCCGTCCTTCATGTAGGCAGGTGCAGTTAGCCGTCCTGCCTGTAGGTGGCTCTGTGCCATTTATTACAAGGGAAGAGAAGTCTCATAAGGGAATAGGGCCCTTTGAGATTCCATACAGTTCCTCAAGAAAAATAGTATTATTATTGGACATTGAACTCCTGAGAGACTTCAGTAGCCATTTTTGGGTAAAGAAACTTTTTAAGTAAGGGAACCCATGTCACTTTGGTGTTCTTCTGTGCATGGCCAGAGATAGGAACATGTTTGTGAGGGAGAGTGTGAAGCATAGAAAAAGGTTCTTGTGGAGTGGGGACAGTTCAAGGCAGGCTTCTTGGTCATGGTTGATACTCCGGTGTTTGGTACGGAGACCTGGATCTGGTGGGTGGTGCTACTTCAGCCTAAATACCTTTTCTTATGGAATGCCACCCCTGCTAGCTGATGCTGTCCTCTGGTAAGGCAGTTGGTGAATACAGTACTGTGCTTTTGTGCACCACTCTGCATATACTATCCAAATCTATACAGCTGTGCCAAAGACTGTTTGCTTGGGGGTATTGCACAATAACAAGAGAAATGATACCGTACTTTACAGGAAATGTGTGACTGGTTACTCCCAAGTCAAGGTATCTATCTTAGGTCCATCCTACATCCGTGCAGCCTTCCTTTGTTTTTTGCTCCTGCAGTCGCTCGAGCTGCCTGGAAGAAGATTTGGCCAGTTGTAGGTGCAAAAAACAAAGGCAACCTGCGTGCAGGATGGGTGTCAACACCCATCTGAACAAACCTTTATATGTTGGAGTAAATTGTGTTGTATGTGTAAGTATTGTGTCACAGGAAAAAGTCTGCCTGATATGATTCTGTAACAGATTCATGTACACCTAACTGACAGTTACATGGATTCTTTAGCAAGCTGAACCATTTGTTGCACTGAAGGGAGACCGACTTCTAATGTTTACATGCAGGGGCGGACTGACAACTCATGGGGCCCCCAGGCAATAGGGGATCATGGGTCCCTGTGTCCTTGCCCAAACTCAAAAAAGCCTATGAAAAAAAAGTACCAGGGGCATCTCATGGGGCCCCCTACTGACCCCGGGCCCTCGGGCAGTGCCCGATTTTCCAAATGGTCAGTCCGCCCCTGGTTACATGTCTTCTAATGTCTAGTGCCTGCAGCACTCTTTATGAATTTCAAGATCTGTGTTATGTTTATAAGCTTGCACAGATCCTTTAGGCCACCTTCACACTGGACAACACATGCTGCACAGGAACGCACGTGCATTAACGCAATGCATAACGTGAAAAGGGCTTTTTTACCTCCAGCATGTCTCCTTTTTCTTTTTGCCTGAGGCTGCCATTTTGCTGCGGCAAGAGCCCAGGCAGAAAGGTCACTTTCTTCCAAATTGTCCCTCCCTCATCACACTTACAGACCTATATGTCACATAATATAATTAAAAATGTGTGCAGTTTCCAAAATTGCTCAGTGCCCCTGGCAGGAAAAGGAGAATCAGGGAGGTAAGATAATATCTTTTAAGTTGAATTCTTGCTCTTGCATCTCCCTGACAGCAGAGTTTGTGCTGTCGCCTTTACGGCTTTTCTTTTCTCTGTCCCTAATCTGTCCTCCCTTGGCACAGTCTGTCTCTTTCATGCATCTTCTTCCACCTTCAGTAGCTGTATGTCTTCATGTTATCAGCAGATCAGGCTCTTGCAAGACTCCCTTGCTGCTCTGATTCTCGGAACAGTCTGAGTGCCGCAAATAGAAGACAACTGACTGTGCAGAGCAGGATGAGGAATTGAATTATTGGAATTTAAACAGAATAGGCATTTATTTTTAATGTTTCATAATATAGCCACACTTGAAAAAGTGGCCAGCATAAAGTAATCTGTCACGACATTTTCTGACTAATGTTCTGCTTTAAAGTAGTACTCCAGCAAAAACCTTTTTTGTGGGTAAAGTAGGAAAGAGTTAGACTTGTATTGCTGTCTGATGAGTATTAAGGCAGGAGCTTTCACTTTTCCCACACAACATAACATTTTGTTCTTTGTTAATGGTCACCAGGATTTATTGCAAGGGATGATCGTCCTAACAGGGACATAGAAAGCAATAAACATCTAAATTTATCCCACTCTATCCAAAACTAGATCAATGTGTGTTTTGTTTTGGCTGGTGTTCTGCTTTAATTAGACTTGTACAATTATTTATTAGTGGTGTATAGAGTAGCAGAAAACAAAGTGGCCACATTGATGTTTAGATTTGTATGCCTACATACCCCCAGGGAGCTATACAAAGCTTGCATAAAGAATGCAATAAGAATGACAAGAGCTTTGGAAGAGAATGAACTTACATAAAGGTACCCAGGACAAAAGGGATGTAAGTCATGTGTTAAAATATGGTAGTAAAAATATCAACATGTTTGGAGTAAGACGTTTCAGGGTTGACCACTTTATTGTTGAAATAGGATATAAACAGACATGAGTAGTGATGGAGAAATGTGCTTGGGCTTGATTCTTGGGCTGTTTGGTGAACACATTGTTAAATCTACAAATTGCCAAGGCTAATAGGCTAGAAATTGTCAAACAAAGAACATAGGGGACTGGGCACTGTCAGGGGGGGGGCCTACCAATGCAACCCCCCCCAGAAAATCAGTGGGGGGGGCAGGTTAAAGTGTAAAGTGGCACACAAAAGCAAAAGTGTTGATATCCTTTTATTAATGCAGTAGTAAACACAGCTTGCTCACTTGTACCTACAGGTAAGCGTATGTAGCGCCTCCCTCAACTCCCCTGAAGACAGGATAATACCTCCAAAGGGCAGGGAGTGAGCTAGCATTTACCCCAGGGCTGAAAAGGGGAGATCAGTACAAAAATTGGTCACTTTAGGTATTTTCCAAAGCTTTAATATTGAACTTGAAAGGAAGTGGAAGTAGAGGGTTAGGGGTTTCAGATGCCACACAGATCCCTTACAGCAGTCGTTCTCAACCTGTGGGTCGTGACCCCTTTGGGGGTCGAACGACCCTTTCACAAGGGTCGCCTAAGACCATCGGAAAACACATATTTCCGATGGTCTTAGGAACCGAGACACCGCTCCTCTATCTGTCTCCAGGCGGGTCTGCCACATGCAGATACGCCCACATTTCCCTACACCTCGATGTGTGGGTGGGATGACATGCCGCTTCTGTCATCTGGCCACACTCCCAGGATCACTCAACAGCTCCGCTTCCTCGCCGGTGATTGGCTACCGGAACTGTAGCTCAGGAGAGGCACACAGGTGGCCAGTCACCGGCGAGGAGGTGGGGCTTGGAGAGGAGGAGCCGAGCGGCAGCACAAAGATCAAAGAAGATCAAGTGAGGGAGCTGCAGGAGCGAGTGAAGAGGAGGAGAGTGGCCGGAGAAGGAAGACAGCTGTCGGGTAAGTGTCCGTACCATGCAGATGGTGCTGCTGCAGCCAGGCATGCTGGCTGTAGATGGGAGAGGGAGGGAGCGAGCGCAGGCTGGAGCAGGGGTCACCAAGGTAAGTATCATTGGTGTCAGTGGGAGGAATAGTGCCCCATCATTGGTGTCACTAATACCAATGATGTGGCACTATTTACCCCCTACTGACACCAACAATGGGGCATTATTCCTCCCCCCACTGACACCAACGAGGGGGCACTATTCCTCCCCCCACTGACACCAACGATGGGGCACTATTCCTCCCCCCCCACTGACACCAACGATGGGACACTATTCCTCCCACTGACACCAATGATGGGACACTATTCTTCCCACTGACACCAATGATGGGACACTATTCCTCCCACTGATACCAATGATGGGGCACTATTCCTCCCACTGACCCCAATTATGGGGCACTATTTCCCCCCACTGACACCAATGATCGGGCACTATTCCTCCCCCCACTGACACCAACGATGGGGCAGTATTCCTCCCCCCACTGACACCAATGATGGGGCAATATTCCTCCCCCCACTGACACCAACAATGGGGCACTATTCCTCCCCTACTGACACCAACGATGGGGCACTGTTCCCCCCCCCACACTGACATCAATGATGGTGCACTATTCCCTCCCACTGACACCAATGATGGGGCACTATTCCTCCCACTGCTACCAATGATGAGGCACTATTCCTTCCACTGATGCCAATGATGTGGCACTATTCCTCCCACTGACACCAACGATGTGGCACTATTCCTCCCACTGACGCCAACGATGGGACACTATTCCTTCCACTGATACCAATGATGGGACACTATTCCTCCCACTGACATCAGTGATGTGGCACTACTCCTCTCACTGACACCAATGATGTGGCACTACTCCTCTCACTGCAAACTTACAGTTATGAAGTAGCAACGAAAATAATTTTATGGTTGGGGGTCACCATAACATGAGGTCTCCCACAGTACACAGAACATGGAAATGCAATTACTTTAGTAAATATAAACTGCTAAATACCTTTTCTCATCAGCAGTTAGAGCAATCTTCTATCAGTGTCCAGCCAAGCACTGGCTAAAGCTTGTAGGAGGAGTTTTCTCTAAGAGGATGTAGAACCCCTAACGTCTGTCTGGGCAGTGCTGATTGGCCCTGCGCTGACCACATGCACTCTCCCAAGAAAATAAAAACAGCAATACACACCAAATTGAGCATGTGCCGAGTGTCTCCACAAAATATGTCTTATCAGGAGATAAGAGGGGGACACTGGAAGAAGGGGAGGAGCAGAGAAGTCAGGATCAAACAGCATTTTTACACAATGCAGAGGATTAACCCCTTATGTTCCACAGTGAGTATAACAAGGATGCTTTACTGCATATACAGACTGATTTTACTGTTGTCGGTTTAGTAACACTGTAACTTGCAGGGGGAATTTTCTTTGTTTTTCTAACTTTACTATCGCTGTAGCAAAAAAAAAACCCAGGAGAATATCCCACAGTGCAAATTCATTGTAAGTTCATTGTCAATCACGTTGTCCTGTGTTGTAGATCCAGCACCAGTCAATGAATGACAGCCCACAAACATGATGACCTACTTTCAATAATCTTCTTCCAATGGACACTCTCTGCAACTGATAGCTCACCTGCAAGCTGCTGAAAAAGCATGGCCTCCCATTACTTAATATCACCAACAACCCCACTGTTGGGTAATGACCTTGAATTGTACATTCAGATGATTCACAAGTTGCTGGAGGGGAGGGTCACTCCAATGCGGACCATATGCCTCACTGTCTTTCATGCTCACCAAACCAAATGAGGATCCACACCTCAAAGAAGCAATATAATGGCCAAAATCCCACCACCAGTACTACATTGAGGCATATTATTAATTAATTAAAATGAATGCAGCCACCACATCTAAGGACCCGTAAGCTGCAATATAGAGTAAATCATTTTCCTTCTTCTATTTGAATACATTTTGGGCTGCATTGATAGTTGAGCTGACTGTCTTTGTTCTTTTTACAGACCTTTTTCTTGAGTGTTTTGTACAGGCATTCTGCTGGTATTTTTACTTGACAGCCTCAGTATTCACCTACAGAGCTCTCAGCCCTGATGCAAAGCTGTGGGATGGCTCTTCTGAGGGGTTATGCAAATATCAAAATGCCACTATAGTTGGATATCAGTCTGAAGACCTGGGTGTTCTTAAGCAAACTTCATTTGCATGCAGACTGCCCTAGTTAATTCCGATATGTGATGCCAAGCATATAATTGAAAGAACTAAATTCCAATAAATGAAAGCGGCAGGTTAGGGGAGGAAAGGGAAAGGTGATGCTGGGCATCCTCCAGTCAGAAAATGAGACTGGCTGTATCTGACTTGCTGCAGCTTCCAATACACAATGTGAAAGCTCACAGTGTGCAGTGAAACCTATTTAGCAGTGCTGCACAATGTTGTACTTTTCTGATCATGTTTAAGTCATTAACTGACTCTCCCCTCCCAGCAGTGACTTAGTAGCCTTCCAGCCTTCTAATCCCTAATATATACACTGAGCAGATGCAGTGGGGAGGGGAGCAGGGCGAGGTGAGCTACCCAGAGAACACATTATACAGCTAGAGTGCTTCTGCTGGAGGATGAATTCCTTCACAGTACCTGAAGCGACACAGGTCAACATTGGCTTGTTGTGAAGATAATTTACTACTTGTTAGGAATATGTAAATGTCTATAACTTGGCAACTTTAAGTCAAATACAGACATCTGGGGTCAGTCCAGTAAAAGAGGAAATTCAAGAATTTTTTTTTTTATTTTTATATTCCCACCCTCCTGTTAAAAAAAAAATGTCAATCTGTACTTACCCTCTCCACGCTCCAGTGCTGTCCCTGACTTGATCGAGCACCAGCAGTCCTCTTTGGGCAAAGAATAGCCACCTCATTCTGATTACTGGAGACAGGCATGTAAAATGTTTTTTTTAAAATAAAAAATATCTGGGGGTGGACTTCAGAGGGTTGGGGGAGAATGGTGGGTGAGGTTCGAAACGCCCAGAGTTCTGCTCTACTCATTTATACTACCCAATTGTCTTCAGTTGTTATTAATCCTAAAATATATAAAATAATATAGTGAAATACAGGTTTTCAAATGTATGTTCTTTTGGTAATACAGTACACTTTACATGTATTCTTAATACATCTTTTTAAAAATCTTTTTTTTTTTATTAATTTGAGTTTAACTCTTTTTTATCTTAAACATCACTTTTGTTATAATTATCACCATAGCATTACTTATTCATTTTACTAATCAGTAAATGCTTTGTGATTTTATATGTAATTCTATAATTTGTAAAAGCCATTCATTTAGTGAAATTTTTTTCTTTTGCCCCACCTCCTTGTTCTCATGAGATTTATGTATTTAATAAGTAAGAGCTAAATTACTTTGTTTATATGGGATATTTAGCCATATTAAAAAGTACTAATTCTTTATTAAAGTATTCTGTAACAACTGATCAGACATTATGCAAACCTGGTCTGACTTCAGCAAAGTGAATTCTAATTGGTCACTATGGTTTATTCTGCGCTAGATGTCTTTTTATTGAACAAGAAAAAATTATTTAAATAGATTCTATCTTTGAGAAAGAGAACTTGACACTCAAAAGTCATCCTTTATGAGTTTTTAATACTTATATTACCATTTATATGTGATAAAATGATTGCTCTGTGTTAAAATAGTTAGCTTTTCTAAGTATTTTTAAATATTACTAGAAGAGCTATGCTTAGATTTAGAAATTACTGCATAGTGTGTGTGTTTGTTGCACAGAGCAGCCCTGATCCTCATCTTCTTGGGTCCCCCGATGGAGCTTCTGGTCCTTTCCCCTTCATGCGGTCTTGATCCTGATCCTTGATCTTGTGTTCATTAACACGCACAGTGCAGCTTGGCCCTGCCTCCTGCTCTTTTCTCATAGGCTGTGATTGACAGCAGGAAGAGCCAGTGATTCATGTTGCTGCCTCCGTGACCAGTGAGGAGAGAGAGAGCTGTTACCCTTGTGGACAGCACTGGATCAAGATAGGGCTCAAGTAAGTATTTTGGGGGGGCTGTGGGGGAGCAGGACACAGAAGTTTTTTTTTTTATAAATCTTAATGCAAAAAATGAGCCTAATTTGAGCCTATTTACAGGGTGCAGTTGTCATAAGTATGTAATATACAGATTGCAGGTGGCAGGAGTATGTAACCTACAAAGTGCAGGGGTCCGGGGTGGGTACAATACAAAGTGCAGGGGTCAAGTATGTAATGTACACAGGAGTCAGAAGACACCCTTTTGGGCCTCATTCACATGGGCTTACCAATCAGTACACTCAGACCTGACTGAAGCCTGGCAGTTTAGGAGCCACGGCCCAGCCATCTGGAGGAGACCCCTGTGCTCAGGATTCTGCCCCTGGGGCAGAGAAAGGGAGAGAGAGAGAAGCCTCTCAAGCTTGTTGCAGCCGGTAAAGTCTCAGGCTTAGCTGGGGACCCTACCAGTGAGACAGACAGACTGGGCCAGCACTGAGTCAAAGAGTCAGGAGTTCTGGACTGAGAAGGCACCATTTTCTGGGACTTTTTGAACTACTCAAAAGGAGAAGTGACTGTGGGGGGTTTCACACTACATGTCAGGACCGAGTGCAGCCAATCAGGGGCAACCATATCTTAGAAACTGAATTTAGTACAGCCAGCAGTGCAAGATAGCCAGGAGTTGTACTACCATTACTACTACTACCTAAGACAAAGTACATTGCAACCCACATTGTGCATTGTAACCTGTGCAGGACATCCAGAAGTTTAGAAGTCCTCAAGTTCCACAGTTTTAGGTATTCCATGCTCACATCCCTATCCACGTTCATTGTTTCCCAATAAAAAACACCATAAACAAAACCCCTAGAATGAATATTGAGCCAATGGAAGAATGCTGAAAATTTTGTGTGCCTAGCTGTGGGTGCAGTATAGGGGGAAATAGGCCCATGTGCCAGCAGCTCCTTTCCCTAGACTGATTATTGAGCCTGTGGAAGAATGCTAACAGCTCCTGTACCTAGACATGGGTGCGGTATAGGGGGAAATAGACCAGCACCTCCTTTGGAGATAGTGCTACAAACAGCTTCGGCAACAACCTGGCAACAGAAGCAAAATCCTGGCATTGCTGAGTCATTTCCATTAAAGTGTTACTAAACCCAGGACCCTGCATTCACTATATCTGATCTCTCACAGTACATGGAAAATGGAAAGAAAATGCAATTATTATAGTAAATATAAACTGGTAAATACCTTTTTCTCATCAGCAGTTAGAGCAGTCTTATGACTTCTATCAGTGCCCAGCAGAGCACTGGTTACAGCTTGTAGGAGGAGTTTTCTTTCTGCTCTATTAGAATGCAGAACCATGACCTCTGTCTGGACAGTGCTGATTGGCCCTGTGCTGATCACATGCACTCTCCCAAGAAAAAAAAAAACCCTCTCTAGCAATACACACCAAACTGAGCATGTGCAGCTTGCCCCTGAGCCTCTGTTCTATCAGCAGATATTTAGGAGACACTGGAAAAAGTGGAGGATTAGAGAAGATAACCTTTTTACACAATGTGGAGGATTAATCCCTTCGGTTTTACAGCGAGTATAACAAGCATGCTTTACTGCATATATAGACTGATTTTACTGTTGTAAGTTTAGTGACATTTCAAGTTACCAGGTATGCCCATTAGCTCTGTTTGTAGACAGATCAATAATATACAAAACAAAAGCATACTTTTCTACAATCACATATTTAGATTTGGTCATTTTTATTATAGCTCTTTGTAGTTATAAAATCTTTTTAGCAGTAGCAGTAGCATCACAGATGGCAAATAATCAAGGAATTGCATTTTTAAACCATTGCCTTGAGTGTCAAGTGTCACTAGTTTTATGATTCTCACTATGCACTCTGTCAGTAGCCTTTCTTTGCATCATCTCTTTATTTATGTCCTTCTGGTTTTTAAAAGTGTCCTCCGGACAGACAAACTAGTAACTAATGTGTTTTGCCGGTTTATGCACACATCGCTCATTAACTGTAGTCTTAAATAAAGCACCAGTATAACATTGTTGCCTATTCTGCAGGTTTTTCCCTCTCCAATGGGGTAAGTTACTTTTCTGACATTTAATGTGAATGTTTGGTGGCTCCTTCTGGCAATGAATGGTTAAGACCACAAAAAGCTTAATTCAAGTGTTATTTGCATTTTATTTAAAAAATTACTGCATACAGAAATATTAATTGCTTGTCAACACAGCTGGGGAGGTTTTGAAACATAAAAAGCTAGTCACTAATGCACAAACTAATTAATAGAGATTTCAATGTTCCCTAGTGTTAACTACTCAAAAACAAGTTTTGTTTCCGTGATCATTTAAAATTATTATTTTTTTAAAACATAGAACAAAAAATATACGGGAGCAAAGTAGCGACTGTTTTCAGGATTGCGTACTAAAATTATGTGTTGTCTTGCAATGGCTGTCAAAACAAACCTATTTAATAAATGTAAACAATTCTTCTAATTATTTTTCTTTTACTCACCTTTAAACATTATATATGTTCAGTATGTTTTAGATTTAAGAATCATTTTCAAATGTAATAAATGTAAAAATGGAACCCTGGAAAGTGCAGCACTTTTCAAAATATGCTGGCTTATAAGGGGTTAAGTCAAATGAGGGGTATGCCACCTCAAGGACGTATCTAGTTTATATTTACATTTTTTACTGAGTGGCGGGAGAACAGCTATTGCTACACTCCCAGTGCACTGACAGAAGAGATGCACTGTGCTATACAGCAGCCTCTTAGCCCACCCTTCCCCTCTCTATTCACAGAATACTGTGTAATTTGTAAATGGGTTCACATAATACAAAGCTTTCTGTACCTGTGAAAGAGGAGAGAAGGGGCAGCTAGAGTGGCTGCCAACGACTATACAGCTGCCGAAGATCCAGGGTCGAATGCCAAAAGTATAGCTATGCTACTGGTGCTCAGTAAAAATATAAAAAGTAAATAAAAGACTTAGAGTGTTACTAAACCCAGGACCCTGCATTCACTGTATCTGGTCTCCCACAGTACACACAACATGGACATGCAATTATTTTAGTAAACTGCTAAATATCTTTTCTCATAAGCAGTTAGAGCAGTCTTTTGAGTTCTATCAGAGTTCAGCAGAGCACTGGTTAAAGCTTGTAGGAGGAGTTTTCTTTCTGCTCTAGGAACATGCAGAACCCCTGACTTCTGTCTGGACAGTGCTGATTGACCCTGTGCTAATCACATGCACTCTCCCAAGAAAAAAAAAAAACTCTCTAGCAACACACACAAAACTGAGCATGAGTGTCTCCACATGATATGTCTTATCAGAACATATCATGGGGGGCACTGAAAGAAGGGGAGGATCAGATAATTCAGGATTAAACAGCATTTTTACAGAATGCAGAGGATTGACCCCCTAGGTTCTACAGTGAATATATCAAGCATGCTTTATTGCATATACAGACTGGTTTTACTGTTGTCTTCAAGATGGCACACACCTCATTGAACTTAACCCCTTATAAGCCAGCACATTTTTTAAAAGTACTGCAATTCCTGAAGTTCTTCTTGAACCGCTTCCGACCCGTCCACTACACATAAACGGCCAATTAGGACAAGTGTCATTCAGAGAGAATGTGGCTGTACATCTTTTCAGTCTCTGGCTCACAGGCGCAGCCGTGACAACATGCAGATGCATGCTCCGTTGATGCCTGTGTCTCTTGGGCACAGCACATCACAATCTCCTAGTGCACAATCAACATCTGTCGGTGTTCCAGTGGACCATCAACATCTGTCAGTGTTCCAGTGCACCAATGACATCTGTCACAGTGTTCCCATGTCCCATCAACATTTATCACATTGCCCCAGTGCACAACAACATCTGAAATAGTGTCCCATTGCAACATCAACATCTGTTGGTGTCCCTAGTGGACCATCAACTTCTGTCGTTATCCGTAGTGGACCACCTACATCTGTTAGTATCCCAGTGCACAACATCTGTCATAATATCCCCAGGGCACCATCAACATCTGTCGCGGTGCAGCAACACCAACATTTGTCATAATATCAGCAGTACAGCATCAACATCTGTCATGATGTCAGCAGTGCAGCATCAACATCTGTCATAATATCGGCAGTGCTGCAATAAACATCAGAACACCATTTCAAAAAGATACACCAATGAAGAGACTTTCCAGATACTGAGTATAATGGATGAGAGTAGCAGGGAACTCTCACTGCCAGCCTCTGATTCCGAGTATGAGCCAGTTCAATGCTGTGGGTCAGTAAAGGATTCTGAGGAAAAGAGAGTCCCAACAAAAAGATTCAGGTGATCTGAGGAGCAGGCAACCACCAGTGGCACTGTAATCCCAGCCTATTTCACCAGAAGACTGGGCATTAAAGGGTACATCCCCAGTAAATGTGCCAAATATGGGGTAATGTTCTATAAGGTATGCGACAGGGCCCCAAGATATACTGTACATATAACTTCTGAATTTATGAGGGAAAAGATAGTCAGTTAAAGCCTTCTGGATCCCCTACCTATATGGGGACTGGTGCCAAAATTATTTGCCAACTTATAGAACCGCTATTTGAGAAGGGCTACCATCTGTACATTGATCACCATCTCTATCTGAATCAAACTGTGGCCTCTGGAACAGCACTGGCCAATCACAAAGATTGATTGCCACAAAGTTAAAGAGCAGGGAGTCAGCAAGCCCTAAAGTGGAGAGATAAAAGAGATGTTTATGTCCTTTCCTCAATCCACGCTGACACCTTGGTGGAACTTCAAGGAAGACAAGTTTCCATCCAAAAACCCATTTCATACATGACTATAACTATGGGGGGGGGGGGGGGAATTTGAATGACCAAATGTTACAAGCCCAACTTAGCCACCAGGAGATCAATTTATTTGTATAAGAAAGTATCAGTCTACTTATTTCATTAACTCTGTGCAATTTCTATGCCATCTTTTATAAGTGCACACAAAAACCCCTATTCTACTTGAAATACCAAGAGGACATTGTTACAGCCCTTCTCTATCTGGATGGTCATGTCCCTGAACAAATTCATTCTGATTCAGTGAGCAGACTTCATGAAAGACATTTCCCCGATATCCTCCCTCCTACCCAAACAGGCCACAAACCTCCCAAAAAAATGTTGTGTATGTGCCAGTAACAGAATTCACCATAATACCCGATACTACTGTCCCCAATGTCCCTCCCAGCCAGGCCTATGTATTGGAGAGTGCCTCCAGATCTATCATGCATTACTATACTCTTAGTGAAGTATAACTGAAGGGTAGATATTTTTTCAGTGTCTACTATCTGCTATTTCTCTGTATGACCATGCTTCTGCCTGCTGTCTGAACTGATCTTGGCCTGCAAATTGACCATGCCTCTGCCTGCCTGCCGCCTGAACAGAACCTGGACTTATCAACAATGCCTCTGTCTGCCAACTGAACTGACCCTGGACTGTGATGCCTCTGCTTGCTGCCTGAACTACATTTCTGCTTTTCACCAGGCTTTGAATATACTCCTCAATTCAATTTTATTTTATATAGATTCTTAAAGGACGAGATTCATTTTATTCCTAGGTATTTTAGTTCTTTTTCCCTCCATGCAAAGGGGAATTCTCTCTGTAGAACCTTTTTTTCAATTATCGGAACATTAACTTTTAAAATCTCTGATTTTGATGGGCTGATTTTTAAATTTGATAAATCTCCATAATATGTCATTATTCTCATTAGATTGGCTAGTGTCGGCCTAGGGTTTACCACATAGAATAGCATATCATCAGCATATGCTGCAACTTTATGTTCTATCTCTCCTATCTGTATCCCTTTTACATCCAGACTGTTTCGTATTGTTGCCAAAAGAGACAAGCAACAGGGGCAAAAGCGGACACGCCTATCTTGTCCCATTATACATTTTAAAATACTCTCATAACGAGCCATTGATCTTTACTGCTGCTGAAGGTTGGCTATAAACCTTTCCTATCCACTCTCTCATTTTGGGGCCAATTCCCTAAACCTCCAATGTATTCAACATAAAGCCTCAATCTACCCCATTGAGAGTCTTCTCAGTGTCTATCAATAAGATCAATATGGGGGGGGGAGTTTCTCCCTTACTTTTTTGAATGAGGAATAATGATCTTAGCTCATTATCTCTTCCCTCCCTCCCGGGGATGAATCCCACTTGATCTAAATGAATCCATTCCAGCATAAATTCATTCAGCCTAGTTGCCAGAACTTTTGCGTGTAGTTTTGTATCCATATTTAACAGTGAGATGGGGCTGTAGCTAGCACATAGGGTCTTAACTTCCCCTCTTTCTGTATAATTGTAATGTGTGATTTCAATGACTCCTCCCTCATCTCCATTCCATCTCCTAGTGCGTTCATATATATTCTCAGTTTAGGGACTAATTGTCCTTTGAATTTCTTGTAATATCTCACAGTATACCCGTCTGGCCCAGGGCTCCTCCCTGAAACTGTACCCTTCAGCGCCTCCTGGATTTCCTTCTGTGTTATTGGTTTTTTAAAAAAGCTAAAGGTTCTTCTCCCAATCTTGGTAATACTGCCTCTTTTAGATACATCTGTCTTTTTCTAGTTCTTTCTTCTTCCCCCTTTTAGTTTTTTTGGGTTTACTTCATATAACTTCCTATAGTATTTTTTAAATACATTAGCAATATCAGTGGTTGAGTACACCATTTCACCATTATCATCTTTAATTTTCTCTATATAATTCCTTGATTTCTTATTTTTTTGTTCTCATTAAATATTTACCAGGTCTATTCCCCCCACCGGTATCTTTCTCTTGCCATCATCTTAAATATTCTCCTCGTTTCTTGCTTCATTAAGTTACTTAATTCATCTCTTTTTTAAATTATTTTCTGCTGTGTATCTTTCATTGTTCTCTTTTTATGTGATTGTTCTAGTTCATATAGTTCCCTTAATAATGTATTAATTTTCTTTTGCTGTTCTTTCTTTTTTTGTTCTCCAATAGCTATCAAGATTCCCCTGATATATGCCTTATGTGCTTTCCACACCGTAGGAATTGAGACTCCTTCAGTCTCATTTATTTCAAAGTATTGTTCTATTTCTTTTTTTATTCTCAGTTCCGTCTCGTGGAGGAGCATCTCATTTAGTTTCCACATATTTGTCTTATTTTGCTCTCTTCCCCATAATAACTTAATTGTGACAGGTGCATGGTCCGATATTGGTGTAACTTCTATATTCACTTTAACCAGCGACTCCAAGAGTATGTGTTCTATCAATTTATAATCTAATCTAGAATATGTCGCATGTGCAGGAGAATAGAATGTATAGTCTCTTTCTCTGGGATGTTTAATTCTCCAAACATCTATAAGTTGAGACTAATATAGCATTCTTTGCATAGATTTCAAACATCTACCTCCATCTCTCTGCACATGCGATGTTATGTCAATCTGAGAATCCATGCAGAAATTAAAATCTCATGCCACAATTAGTTTGCCCTTCTTAAAATCCAAAAGCCTTCTTAGTATAATCTTCAAATAAGCCATTGAATTTCTATTGGGACAATAGATATACGCCCTTGTACATTCTATTTCCTGTAATCTCCCCTCAGGAACAAAAATAGACCTTCTGGATCCTCCAACTTATCTTCCAACTTAAATCTTAAATTTTTTGCTATCCCAATTGCTACCCTTTAGCGTGTTTAGTTAGTGAATTGTTCATCCGAAGGAACACAAAGATATCCTCACCATAGTTCTCATCCCCCACCCACCCCATATCCCCCCCTACTACCCGTAGGCTCCTAACTTGCCTTTGAATCATTTGTGGTCCTGGCCCCACTGTCAATTCCTGACTAGGGTGGAGCTCTGACCACATACGTCCACCCTGGTAACGTTCCCAATCCCTAGGTCGCGTGTCTGGATGTATATGTTGCTTCCTGTTTCCCACCTATCTTCTAAAATTCCTGCTTAGGAGGAAAAGAAGGAGAGAAGGAAAGGGGAAAAAAAGGGAAGTCCCCTCATGCCTTCCAAAAATGTCCCCCCCCCCCCGTTCCTCCTCTCCCCCTCCTATTTTATCTCTGTGTGTGATTTCCTTTTGGGGACTGACTGCCAACTCTCATTTTCTATTCCTCTATTCTCCTTTACCCTCTCTTCCCATCCTGGAGTGTCTATTTTCTGTAATTCTAGTCTCTCACAAAAGTCTTTTAGGTCTTCTGGGAACCTCAATCTTGCAGAGTGATGATCTCTCCATCCAATTAAACATGCTAGAAATCCCCAGCTGTATCGTACGTTTTGTTTTCTCATCTGTTACAGTAATGGTTTCAACATTCTCCTTCTGGCCAATGTTCCGATGTTATTTCAGCAAAAATCTGTAAACTTGCTTCTTCATATTTTATTACTGGTATCCCTCTTATCTTCTCTAATAGATCTACTTTATCTTTGTAATGATGAAATCGCACACTCACATCTCTGGGATTTTCACTCGCATTTC